CCCCCAGGGAGAGGACCTGGGACCTCGGACGCCCCCGGGCGTGTTTGGCAGCCGCGGGAAGGCCGTTTCCGAGTCACTGGTAGCTGCGCAGCGAGGGAGGCCTGACCTCTACAGCTCAGTCACAGATTTTCCTGGCTTTTTGCGCTGCAGTCAGGGTGAAAAGCTGATGGAAAAAACCTGCTTTCCTTTTTTCCACCCGGGAGCGAGCCCCGGGCCAGGGCTCCTTCCCCTCCTTCCCTTCCCTTCCCTTCCCCGTGCAGCTCCCGAGTCGGGGCGGCTGCGGGCTCCGGCGCGTCTCCCACTAGCGTGACCCCAGGGCCGCTCCTGGTGCTGCCACCCGCCGTGGCCGTGGTACGGGGAAGGCAAACAAGAGCTTTCGGTCTGCAAACAGTGCGCGATAGCAGGTCGCTTACGCACCCTTTGTCGCACTTGGTATAGATTGTGTGCCAGGACATCTCTCATGGACTCCACCTCTGCGGCGGAGAGCCTGTGCACACGCCGATTTCCACCACTCCTGTAAATAAAAGAAAAATTTAACTGATATTAATGAGTTGGTTAAATACTATTCCCATGAAATGACGCGTGATCTGGTTTTAGTGCTAGAACAGGAGGCTACGAAGAGCCTTTCAGTGACCAGTGACACCATGAAATCATCCAAAGATGAATAAAAAATGTCAGATTTTGCTCTTTCCTGGGGTTTATCAATATACTGTGTAGCCAGAATGGGCCGAGAGACCTGCCCTGTGTTGAGAACGTGTAGGGTTTCCTTGCCACTGAGCCTGTTTCTCCATTTAAAATGAAAGAACTACCTAAAAGATAGTCATCTTTGTATTTTTAACAAACTGTGACAAGAGGCCCAACGTCACATGTAGCTGCCTGGCTTTTTCACTAGCAAAACAATGGAAGAGGGCTGCTGTGAAATGTTAACTGGTTTTGCTAAGTCAGTCAATCTGTGTGAGAGTTAGCGTTCGGCTGAATTCCCAAGAAAAGAAAGGGAGATAGATAGTAATCATCCAGGATTAATCAGTCTGAGTTCATCTTGCTGTTTCTGGTTTTTCCCTTTCTCCATTTTGCTTTCTTGCCTGTTTTTTTAAAAAAAAAGTAATTGCAAATCTTTGTTCTCAGCTAAGTGATGTCCTTAAAGTGTTGTCTGTAAACTCTGCAATTAAAGAATGGATTATGATCAATGTACAGTATTGCCAAAGCTTTGTGTGCATTTATTTTGTACTCCCTGTAAAATAAATTAAAAACTTTTAACGGCAAAGGAAGGTGGATTCAAGCTAAACTGAGATTATGCTGTAAAAATAGGAAAAAGGTTGGAATTTACAATTACAGCTAGTTTAACAAGATTACCACTGTTTTGTGCTATAATCTAACATGAACATCTTGAAAACTTGTAGGACCATCATGAGCTGCCTGGATTTTACATTTTACTGCCTCTTACCATCAAACAGACACTGAGCACTGGTGGCCTGGCCCTGTCCAAAGTCCCTGGAATATAAGAATTAATTCCTGATATATTTCAAGGTTTCAGAATGTGTTTTCATTCTGCATCAGACCAAAACTGAGATCTGCCAAATTTTTTCGTGAAGTAAAAAGAAAGAGAGAAATTGACAATAGATTAAGGTGTTAGAGGTAGGGCTGGGGTAACCAATAGGTTAAGGATCTCACTGAGGCATGAGACCCATGAGTCTACCACTCAGCTGTTGGCAAGCCAGAGTCACAGAAAAGAACTCCCTTTCTGGATTTGACCAGAAATCTTATCCTGGCCCTGATAAATCCTTCCCAACAAATGTTCATTCATCAATTCTCAACAACAGCAACAACAACAAAGCTAGGTATTTACCAGCAGGGAAGAAAGACCATCACCACAACCCAGTTCCAGGCCAGCTGGGTGGGTGCTTTCAGCTCTCAGGGATAACACTTGAGAGGATCCAGGGATGCCACCAAGTTTCCAGGCTTAGGTGTAATGCACCTTTATTCCACACCGGATCTGGCCTGTCCCAGGCTGTGGGACAGCCCCGTGTATGCTGCTTTCCACAGCGAGGAAACCAGTCTCTTTGCTGTCAGCAGCCCCTAGCTGCTGTGCCTTTGGACAACAGAGAGACCCTAGGTACACCTGGGAAAGCAAACACAAGAACAGCCCCTGGGGACTAATGGCAATCTAGCCTGTCAACGAGTAGTGGTCTATAAAATGCAGGCTTGGCTCATTTGTGTAATGCAAATCGAACTGCCATAGCTGATGAAATCGGCTTTGACTTCGTAGGCAATTAACTGTCTCTCTGGTCTGCACTTCACTGAATGTCTCCACAGGGTCTTTATACCTTACAGTTGGGAATAAATAGGGGAAAGCAGCTAAATAGGGGAAAGCAGAACTCCACTGGGAAGACATCAGATCATCTCTTTACTTTTCCAGTTGCATACCTGACCCCCTCCACATACCAGCACAGACGTGGCCAGTCCGAAGTCATGTAAAGGCTTATCATTTTGCTCTTAAAGTGACTTAAATAGAATAAATAAAATCCCCTGAGTTTCAGCTGAGCTGGGATAGCAAGAGAACAAACAGCATGAAGATAGTCTGTATTGTTCCGGAGCACAAATAAAAAAAGTGTGTTCTTTTCATGGGATTATATATTAACCTACCCAACCGATAACAACGCACAGGTATGGTAATAAAGAACAGATTGCTTTTACATTTTGCAATTACAACACATTAAAAAAGAACTTTCAGAAAAACCCAAACAAGTTTGGTATGTTACCAAACCCATAAAGCAATCCTTATTGAAACTATCTCTTTGTTCTTATTGAAACTTCCAGCGTGTTACAACAAAGCACAGCGCAGGAGATATATTTGTGAAGAAAATACTGAAATGATAATATGCCATGAAAACTGTCTCTCTATAACGAGTACCATGACAGTATCTCTTTCTTCTTTAGACATGGAGATAGTTGATACATGGAGGAAATAAAATGCCTTCCACAAACCTTGTAAGATTATTTTTTATATATTATATCTAAAATTTTGAACTTTGTGAACTCCCCACCAATCTTCACTAGTCCTGTGACAGAAGTAACATTCATCAGGCACAGCTCTTGGCGCAACTGCACCACCACAAATGACAACACGGCACTTGATTCTGATCTGTACTGTATTGTTACATTCTAAGATTTACTCTTACCAAACTCAGTATTGCAGTAATATGAAGCCAACATTAAGTAAGTTCAGCATCAAACCATCTCTCTCTAATGGGCATTTTTCCTCCAAAAAAACAGCCATACAAACACAGATTTGATAATATCTGCTTGGCTCTGCTTTTGCCATTTCTATCCTTATTTCTAAGGCTTATATTCTCCAAAACATCATAACAAAATTCTCTATTTTCATTCAGATGTGGATTCTTTGTTGCACAGTCCATGGGGAAATTTTTCCAGTCCGCGCTGGAAATACTTACTGCATATTGGACACCCACTCCACCTGCAGGAATCACACCAGCATGAATGCAATTTCTGAGAATAATGCTAATTCATAGCAATGGAGATCTGCATTGATTGTTATAGAGCATTTCTCCTCCTGTGCCTAAAGGCTGCAGAACTGATCAGAAGTGCTAGTGAGAGAGTTTTCCCACTGCTCTGGCACTGCAAATATTGCTTTACGTGCCATTTGTTGGAATTTGATTTCAAATCTCCACTTGCTCATGGCCAGATTTTTGTATCCTCACTGAAGACAGGGACTTTAGATACAAGTTACCTCAATGATATTAATCAAATAATTTACAAATACATTTAGAAACCTTTTAGTCTTAAGCAGGTTCACTTAATTGCCCAGGAAAATGGAGATAAAAGAACTGCTGCATTGGCTCAGACCGAAGATCCAACAACTCACTCACTGTCCTGTCTCCTCCACTGCTCAACAGCGGACACCTATCAACGAACAGAGCTGGGAAAACATATATTTTCCTAGAACACTCTCACAGCCTCCAAGAATCAGAATGTTTCTGAGCCACAGGTTGCACTTTGTTTCTTGAAGTTGACACTTAGGAGAACCTGTGCATCAGAGGTTGATGCACAGTAAAATTCAATTACAGCTGGAGTAGAGCTGGCAAAAATTAGTCCTTTGCATCACCTGTTTATTATAGAATATTTTTCAATCTAAATTCTCAGCTCAGGAGAGAATTTCTGAACTACGCTGAAGCAATTTGTCTTATTTTCTC